GAGTTTCCATTTGTTAGTGTCCTCTTTAATTTCTCTCAAGAATGTCTTGTATTTTTTGGGGGTATAGGTCTTTCACTTCCTTGGTTAGGTTTATTCCTAGGTATTTTTATCTTTTTGATGCAATTGTGAATGGAATTGTTTTCCTGATTTCTCTTCCTATTAGTTCATTGTTAGTATATAGGAAAGTCTCAGATTTCTGTGTATTAATTTTGTATCCTGCAACTTTGCTGTATTCCAATATCAGTTCTAGTAATTTTGGAGTGGAGTCTTTAGGGTTTTTTATGTACAATATCATGTCATCTACAAATAGAGACAGTTTGACTTTTTCTTTACTGATCTGGATTCCTTGAATTTCTTTGTTTTGTCTAATTGCCATGGCTAGGACCTCCAGTACTATGTTGAATAGCAGTGGGGAGAGTGGGCATCCCTGTCTTGTTCCCAATCTTAGAGGAAATGCTTTCAGCTTCTTTCTGTTCAGTAAGATGTTGGCTGTGGGTTTTTCACATATGGCCTTTATTATGTTGAGGTACTTGCCCTCTATACCCATTTTGCTGAGAGTTTTTATCATGAATGGATGTTGAATTTTGTTGAATGCTTTTTCAGCATCTACGGAGATGATCATGTGGTTTTTGTCTTTCTTTTTGTTGATGTGGTGGATGATGTTGATGGATTTTCATATGTTGTACCATCCTTGCATCCATGAGATGAATCCCACTTAATCACGGTATATGATCCTCTTGATGTATTTTTTAATTCGGTTTGCTAATATTTTGTTGAGTATTTTTGCATCTGTGTTCATCAGGGATATTGGTCTGTTCTTTTTTGGTGGGGTCTTTTCCTGGTTTTGGTATTAGGGTGATACTGGCTTCATAGAATGAGTCTGGAAGTTTTCCCTCTTCTTCTGTTTTTTGGAAAACTTTAAGGAGAATTGGTATTATGTCTTGTCTGTATGTCTGATAACACTCTGTGGTAAATCCATCTGGCCCGGAAGTTTTGCTCTTGGGTAGTTTTTTGATTACCGATTCAATTTCTTTGCTGGAATTGGTCTGTTTAGATTTTCTCATTCTTCCTTGGTCAGTCTTGGAACGTTGTATTTTTCTAGGAAGTTGTCCATTTCTTCTAGGTTTTCAAGCTTGTTAGCATCTAGTTTTTTGTAGTATTCTCTAATAATTCTTTGTATTTCTGTGGGGTCCGTCATGATTTTTTCTATCTCATTTCTGATTCTGTTGATGTGTGTAGATTCTCGTTTTCTCTTACTTATTCTGGGTAGGGGCTTATCTACTTTATTTATTTTCTCAAAGAACCAGCTCTTGGTTTCATTGATTTTTTCTATTGTTTTATTCTCAATTTTATTTATTTCTCCTCTGATCTTTATTATGTCCCTCTGTCTGCTGACTTTAGGCCTCATTTGTTCTTCTTTTTCTAATTTTGATAGTTGTGTCTTTAGACTATTCATTTGGGATTGTTCTTCCTTCTTTAAATATGCCTGGATTGCTATATACTTTCCTTTTAAAACTGCTTTCGCTGCGTCCCACAGAAGTTGGGGCTTTGTGTTGTTGTCATTTGTTTCCATATATTGCTTGATCTCTACTTTGATTTGGTCATTGATCCATTAATTATTTAGGAGCATGTTGTTAAGCTTCCATGTATTTGTGAGCCTTTTTGCTTTCTTTGTACAATTTATTTCTAGTTTTATACGTTTGTGGTCTGAGAAGTTGGTTGGTAGAATTTCAATCTTTTTGAGTTTACTGAGGCTCTTTTTGTGGCCTAGTATGTGGTCTATTCTGGAGAATGCTCCATGTGCACTTGAGAAGAATGTGTATCCTGTTGCTTTTGGGTGTAGAGTTCTGTAGATGTCTATTAGGTCCATCTGTTCTAGTGTGTTCAGTGCCTCGTGTCCTTACTTATTTTCTGTCTGGTGGATCTGTCCTTTGGAGTGAGTGGTGTGTTGAAGTCTCCTAAAATGAATGTATTGCATTCTATTTCCTCCTTTAATTCTGTTAGTATTTGTTTCACGTATGTTGGTGCTCCTGTATTGGGTGCACATATATTTATAATGGTATATCCTTTTGTTGGATTGACCCCTTTATCATTATGTAGTGGCCTTCTTTATCTCTTGTTACTTTCTTTGTTTTGAAGTCTATTTTGTCTGATACTGGTACTGCAACACCTGCTTTTTTCTCCTTGTTGTTTGCATGAAATATCTTTTTCCATCCCTTGACTTTTAGTCTGTGCATGTCTTTGGGTTTGAGGTGTCTCTTGTAAGCAGCATTTAGATGGATCTTGCTTTTTTATCCATTCTATTACTCTGTGTCTTTTGATTGGTGTATTTAGTCCATTTACATTTTGGGTGATTATTGAAAACATGTACTTATTGCCATTGCCGGCTTTAGGTCCATGGTTACCAAAGGTTCAAGATTAGCTTCTTTACTATCTTACTGTCTACCTTAACTCACTTATTGAGCTATTATATACACAATCTGATGATTCTTTATTTCTCTCCCTTCTTATTCCTTCTCCTCCATTCATTGTATGTTAGGTGTTTTTTTGTGTGTGTGCTCTTTTGTGTTTCCTTTGACTGCTTTTGTGGGTAGTTGATTTTATTTTTTGCCTTTAGTTAGTATTTGGTTGGTCTGCTTTCTTTGGTGTGATTTTATTTTCTCTGGTGACATCTATTTAGCCTTACAAGTGCTTTCATCTAGAGCAGTTCCTCTAAAATACCCTGTAGAGGTGGTTTGTGTGAGGCAAATTCCCTTAACTTCTGTTTGTCTTGGAATTGTTTAATCCCTCCTTCATATTTAAATGATAATCATGCTGGGTACAGTATTCTTGGTTCTAGGCCCTTCTGTTTCATTGCATTAAATATATCATGCCATTCTCTTCTGACTTGTAAGGTTTCTGTTGAGAAGTCTGATGATAACCTGATGGGTTTTCCTTTGTAGGTGACCTTTTTTTTCTCTCTTGCTGCCTTTAATACTCTGTCCTTGTCCTTGATCTTTGCCATTTTAATTATTATGTGTCTTGGTGTTGTCCTCTTTGGGTCCTTTCTGTTGGGAGTTCTGTGTACTTCCATAGTCTGAGCAACTATTTCCTCCCCCAGTTTGGGGAAGTTTTTAGCAATTATTTCTTCAAAGACACTTTCTATCCCTTTTCTCTCTCTTCTTCTTCTGGTACTCCTATAATGCAGATATTGTTCCTTTTGGATTGGCCACACAGTTCTCTTTATAATGTTTCATTCCTGGAGGTCCTTTTATCTCTCTCTGTGTCAGCTTCTATGCGTTCTTGTTCTCTGGTTTCTAGTTCATCAATGGCCTCTTGCATCTCATCCATTCGGCTTATAAATACTTCTAGAGATTGTTTCACTTCTGTAATCTCTCTCCAGACATCATCCCTTAGCTCTTGTATATTTCTCTGCATCTCCTTCAGCATGTTTATGATTTTTATTTTGAATTCTTTTTCAGGAAGACTGGTTAGGTCTATCTCCTTCTCAGGTGTTGTCTCTGTGATTTTTGTCTGTCTCAGATTCTGTCTTTTCATGGCGATAGAGATAGATTGTGGAGCTGGGGCGAGTGATGGCTGGGAGAACTTCCATTCTTGTTGGTTTGTGGCCTTCCTCTCCTTGGAGAACAGGGACCTCTAGCGACTTGTGCTGGGCAGCTGCACACAGACGGGGCTTCTGATTCTTGCATGGCCGCTATGGAGTTTAGCTCCGCAGTTGCTGTTGGCGTGCCCTGCCTCAGGCTGCTGCTCCAATATTCCAGAGCCACGTCAGAGGGGAAACGGCCTGGAGGCTGTTTATCTCTGTGATGGGCCTCCGAGCCGCCCTTCTGCACAGGGGGTTAGGGTGCCCAGATTTCCCCGGGATTCCCAGCTTCTGGGCTAAGAGACCCGGGACGCTTCCATCCAGCTGTTGGGTCCCTGTCCCTTTAAGACTTTCAAAAAGCACTCGCTTTTCTTTGTCCCTGGGGCACCAGCTGCAGGGACCTGCTCACAGGTCTTTCTGTCCTGTTTCCCTAGTTTCCAGCACCCCACGCATGCACTGTGTCTGCGCTCTGGTGCAGATGGCTTGGGCTGGGTGTTTAGCAGTCCTGGGCTCCCTCTCCCTCCCTGCTCTGACTCCTCTCCTCCCGCTGGGAGCTGGGGTGAGGGGTGGTCAGGTCCCACTGGGCCTCGGCTTGTATCTTACCCCCTTCGCGAATCACTGGGTTCTTGCAGATGTAGATGTAGCCTGGCTGTTGTCCTGTATCTTCTGGTCTTTTAGGAGTAGTTGTATTTTTTGTATTTTCAAAAGTACATATGTTTTTGGGAGGAGATTTCCACTGTCCTACTCACGCCACCATCTTGGCTCCTCCCTCATCAGGAGCCTTTTGTGAATTTTGGAATGCAGATACCACCTCATCCTCCATTTCAGTCATCCAGTGCTCCTTCACTGAGCAAGGTGGGTGTCTCCTCAAGGTGAGGAGACAGTCTGGCATGCAGGAGAATATGTTCTGTCTGACCTCTAGGCTTGCCCTCTGGATTCTAAAATTGGTGTTTAGTTTCATACCACACAAGCCAAGCTCACTGAAGCCGAGGTCAATTTCCCTAAACAGAATAGGAGCTTCATCCCTGAAAGGATGTTATCATATAGACAGTGCTGAAGAGGTCCAAGCCAAGGGTGAGACTATGGGCCATATTTTCCATAAACTCAGGCAGGAAACTTAATAAAATAGCATTTATTAGCACTTCTTAAATCAACTGCAAACCAGATCTTCGTGGAGTTTCTCACTTTAAAAAATGAATGTGTTTATAGACTTTTCATTTTCAATCTAGTATCAAGACTTACCCACATTACAGTCTTGCTCAAGGGAAGAGAGAGAGGTGAGACCCAAGAGATTGTCACAGGTTAATTAAATAGGTCAGTGGGTGAAATGAAGGCCCTTTTGGTCATGTGCTCCCTCTCCAATTTCTTGATGATGCTAACTAAGGATTTGCCCAGAATGATTTTTCCCCCCATACAGGCTTCAAAATACAGCTCTTCATGAAGCAACTCTGCTTGGCCTGGAAGGAAGGGAGTGCATTGCTACTTTACTGCGGTATGTTCCCTGGCCTCTGGGGGAGACTTCTGAGGATCACAGTGATCCCCCTGCTGAACTGTGATCTCCTCAGAGGGCCCTGGTTGCCAAACAGTCAACCCTATGATGGGGCCACCATCCCCCCATGGCTCCCAGGCACTAAGGGCCTTTAAGAGCACAGTGAACATGTTGCCCCCCTTGAAACACACTTAGTTGTATGACTTCAGTGCAATAGGAACCAATGGCCAGGATTGGCACTTGAACATTTTTAAATCACAGAGTACCTGAAAACATCTCAGGGTAGAGTCACCCTTCAGAGCAGGGGTTATGAGGCTCGTGGCACAGGCCTGGGACGGTGGGGCCAAAGGGGATCCCTGACTGACCTCTCTGTCAGGGAACACCAGACCCTCAGCTTCCAGTGCCGAAGTCCTTATCCTTGCCATTTCCTTCACAGATGCAATGCAAGCACCCAAAAGAAGAATATGAGAGGCCAGACAGCATACGACCTGGCGCTGGGAATTGGGGATGACTTCATCACCTCGCTTTTCGCTGCTAAGCTTGGCCTGGATGACTGTTAGACCCGAGGGTCTCTGTGGAGTTTCATTTAAAGAACCCATCCAGCTCTGGCTGTTCTTTGTTTATTTCTTTCTGAAATGTGTATTTGTAATTTGGGGATTGAGGCTGAGGAGAACTCATATGATTTTTTATTATACATCAGTATGAGCCACCAATACCCCTTGGGTGTGTCCCGATATGCCCAGGATGATGATGAGCTTAAGGTATGTTTTTTAATTGTTTATTGGTGCTTATTTTATAATCTTCCTTTAAGTTTATTTTTCAACAGATAATTGCACATGGTTCAAAGCTAAAAAGTATAAAGTATTATATAGTGAAAAATCTCCCTCATTTCCTGTCCAACCTCCACCCATGGGCCCTCGTCAGAGGCAACCAGACAGAGTCAACTGTATCTTTCCAGCAATAGTTTAGGATTATGTAAGCACATTATATAACAGATGCATATGTACAAAGTGTACATAAGATATAAATACACATGACACAGATATACTCCATCCCCTCTTCTAGGATAGATAGTAGCAAATCATGCACTGTTCTGTGTCACATTCCTTTGCATAATGTATCTTTAGGTGGCTCCAAATTAGCACATAAAAATAGGTTATTTAAAATATTAGTCTTTTGTTGAACTCAAACTCCAAAGCTATAGACAATTCCTATTGCTATGGTTTGTTCTTTGGTTTAAATAAGCTTTGAATAAACTATCTGCAGGAACATGTAAGTTTGCCTTATTTCTTTATTCAATTGTTATTTCAGTCTCTGGGTCGTAATGCTATAATCAAGGAATCCCTAAATTGTTTCTGTTCGTGTATGTACATAGTGTCATTTAAATGGGGTTGGGTGGCCGAAAGGAGGCCTTTATGTGTTAGCTCTACTAGAAATGTAAAGAGCAAAACACTATTAAATTATTAGATGTTACTAAAATATTTTTATGCTAAGCCTCAGATTTTGTGTGTGTGTGTGGAATGACATCGGAATTTCAGGTTTTCCTAATGGTTGGCACAATTTTACTTGTGGTAAGACAGATGCTAGCCTTGTTCTGCATTTCTGTACTTCTCTTTATGATTTATACATTCATTCACACCTTAATTCACTTTTCAGTATATTTTTATAAGTGCATACATTGAACACAATGTGCCATATTGTTTTTTTCAAGTAGTTTTCCTGAGGATTTAGGAGTATATATAATAAACAATAAATAAGGAACAGGAATCTTGAAATTTTGCTGCAATGATATGAAAAAATGCTGCCTGGGCGAAGTTAGATCATCACTCTGATAAGCTTTTTTTCTGAAAACTGTCCAACTGTAGTGTCAAAAATGACCTAAGGATGCTGAGTAGAAAATACCATTTAAGGACTTATGCAAACTGAGCTCCTTTAAGCCATCTGTAGCTTAGCTTATTTTATTTTAAATGGTATTATTCACTGTGGTTGGTTTCCAGGAGACCCGTAAGTGCTCACAGTGTTCTGGAAGCTCCCTCTTGTGTGACAGTATACCTAGGGGTCACTGCCTTCCGAGTCCCACACAGCTAGGACACCAGCCTCAAACTGGCCTCTCCTGTGGGTGGTGGGACTCTCTCTGGCTTGACCAGGTAACGGGGGCCTCACCAACTGGCAACAGGGCCCCAATTTCAGGATTGGGGCCTGAAGGTAAATATCTCTATTGCTGGACTTTATCCCAAGAATAATTTTGCATTTTTCTTCAGTTACTTCTGTAGGGAATCCCATGAATTCACTCCAGTTGCTTTTTTCCCTTGTCTATTTTTCAGTGCCTCAGACCCAGGCTCCTGCTTGTCTCTGGCAACTATGATGAAAAGAGTCTCAGTTTCTCCTCTTCTGTAGGGAATCCCATGAATTCACTCCAGTTGCTTTTTTCCCTTGTCTATTTTTCAGTGCCTCAGACCCAGGCTCCTGCTTGTCTCTGGCAACTATGATGAAAAGAGTCTCAGTTTCTCCCAAAATTCCAGTCCCTCAGATACGTTTCTAATAACTTCGGAAAGGTTCCTTTATACAAAAGATGCCTGCAAAGAGGGCCCCTTTTCTGCTCATGCCTCCTCCTCTATTTGATCCTGAAGCTATAGACAAAGGGGCACTGATATTTTCAAGCTTTCATTGTACAGAGAACTGGACAATCTGCCTTTCCCGGGAAGAGCCAGGTGCCACAGACTGCTGGGTGATTTGTCCCAGGGAGGAGGGGGCTTAGGAGAGCAGTGCTGGGGCCAAGGGAGAAAGAGGAGCCTTCTGCTCGCTTCCTTCCTCTGCTACTGACACATTCCTTGGTGACCTAGGAACTGGGAATTTGCACAGGGGGGAATCAATGCTTGGGAGTGACACAGAACTGTCATCACCCCTCAGATGGACAGACTGGTGTGTTTCTGCAGGAAAGCTCTTAAATACTCGATCGTGTAATGACAAAGGAAGCCTGGAATCTTCTAAAGCACACATTTTTGTGAGCAGGGGTGGGGGACAAGCTTTTTATTAGGATGCAAACCCAGTCCCTCTAACATGTTTCAGATAGGGTCTAGTGCACATCTTCATGGACTCTGCCAAATGTTTCTGACTCTGCTTTGCCTCCTTCCTGAGATCTCCCCCACTCCAGCCCTCTTTCCCCCTTACCCTCCTCACCCCTGGTCATCCTCCTGCCTCCACTCTCCCTGCCTCCACCTCTGTCCCATGCTTTACCTTCACCTTCTCCCTTCCTCTCTCACTCCCCTTCCCTCTTCCCCCTCCAATAATTACTGTTGAATTATTTATTTCTCCCTTCAGTCCTGTCAGTTTTGCTTCATGTATTTTGAGGGTTTGTAATTAGGTGCATATTGTGCTTACAGAAAGCTGTTTGGGGCAAGTTGGTCAAACCCTTTATTTTTTGTTTTATTTTTTAAGTTGAGGTACATACAATAAATGTACACTACATTAGAGTATAGTTTGATGAATTTTGACATGTGTATAAACTCAGGTAACCATCTCCCTGATCAGGATAGCAAACATTCTAATTCTTTTCCCTTTCACCTATTTCACCCCCTTCCCTGCCCAGCCCTGCTTCTACGGTGGCCACCAGTCTGCTCTCTGTGCCTTATGAGTCTATTTCAATTTTGTCTGTCTGTTTTGTTTTTTAGATTCCACAGATAGGCGAGATCATAGAGTATTTGTCTTTCTGTGTTTGATTTAACTCACGTAGCATAATACCCTCTAGGATTTCTTTTTTTTAGTTGTTCTATTCTTCCACCAATACAGGATTTGGGTGGCTAATTTTTTTATTTGTAACTGAGATATGATTCACATAATATAAAATTTAGCATTTTAATCATTAAAGTATACAATTCAATGGCTTTTAGCACATTCACAATGTTCTGCAACCATCATGACTATCTAGTTTCAGAACATTTTTATCATCGCAAAAGACAATCCTGTATTACTAATGGGGAGCAGTCACTCTCCTTTCCCCCTCTTCTTAGCCTCTGGCATGTGCTAATCTGTTTCTATCTGTAAATTTGCCTATTCTGGATATTGCATATAAATTGAACGTGTTTCCCCCCCCTTTGTTCTCCTAACGTGGTGTATTACATTGATTTCTGTATGTTAAACCAGGAACCCACTCAATTATAGTGTAAAATCCTTTTAATATGTTGCTGGATTCAGTTGCTAGGATTTTGTTGAGCATTTTTCCATCTCTAGCCCTAAGGGAGATTGATCTGCAGTTTTCTTTTCTTTTGATGTCTTTGTCAGGCCTTGCTCTCAGGATAATATATTTATGGATGTTCTCTCGTGACCATCATTCTCCTTCCTTTCGTTACTTGTTTAAGTTTCCTTTAGCTTGCTGAGCATATTTTAAGGCAGCTGATTTAAAGTCTTGGTCTAGTAAGTTCAATGTTTGGGCTTTCTCAGGGACAATTTCTATGAATTTATTTCCCTGTGATGGTTCATTATATCTTGTTTCTCTGCATGTCTTATACTTCTTTGTTGAAAACTGGAAATTCTGAATCCTATAATATGGTAACTCTAGAAATCAGATTCTGCCACCTCCCAGGGACTGTCCTTGCTGCTTGTTATGGGTCATTATTTGTGTAAGGATTTTTCTAAACTATTTCTATAAAAACTCTATTGTTTGCCATGTGTGGCCACTGAAATCTCTGTCCTGTTAACTTAGCGGTCTGCTAATGATCTGACAGAGGTTTCCCGAAACACCTAAAGCCAAAACTACAAAATACTCTCCCACTTCCACATGTTGGTTTTGTGTGAGGCACTCCTTCAACACTTAGCCAATTGGTTTAAAACTCAGCCTTAACCTTTACTTCTTCCAGTAGAGCCTAAAAGTCAGCCAGAGGTGAGAGTTTAGGGTCTCAGGTCTTTGCTGAGCATATGTCCTGGGTATTCATGGAGCCTTCTAGATTTCCTGGTGTATGTATAGGCTTTTTAAAGCCCTCATTCTCCTAAGCACCTTTCTGAACCGCTTCCTTCTCAGACTTTTCTGGCTGTCTATTGCCTCTCCCATTTCTTATCCCTTCCCTCAGGAGGCTGAGGCTAATACATTTACCTTCAGTGCTTTCAGGAAATGCCACCTGAAAAGCTGCTTCTGCTTTGGGGAAAGCTCAAGTCAGGTGAAAAAAAGCCCTTGAGTCAGTTCTTCAGGGAGTCACCAAATAAAAGCACACAACCCTAACTCCTTGGGAATAAGGTCCATGTTGCCATGGTACCAACAGCCTGCACACAGACTGTGGGCTCATGTCTTCATAGCTGCTGCTGACCTGGGACTGGGAGATGTTAAGCCAGTAAGATGCAATGCCACACACAAAACTTTTCAAACATAATATAAGTTGGTCGTGGGGATAGTATTATGGCATGGAGAACAGAGTCAATGATTCTGTATTGTGTTGATAGTAACCTCACTAGATGGGGTGAGGATTTAATAATATGGGTAACTGTTGAACCACTGTGTTGTATATTTGAAACCAATATAAGACTGTATATAAATTATACTTCAATTAAAAATAAAAAGGTTCTACCAAATTAGAGAACATGAATGAATGCCCATTTCCCTGCATTCTTGCTGAGTATTACAACTTATAAAATATTTCCAATTTGGTAAAACATTATTATTTGTATTTTAAGTTACTAATAAAATTATTACATTAAATAAAAGTTACAATGCCGTGGCACTCATACCAAAATCCAACATCTTCTTTCTTCATTTAGCATTCCCCTGGTTGTTGTTTTCAATAGGTTCCAGAGCTCCAAAAAAGTTGATTCTCACAGTTTTTGCCAACTTCTTTGCTTCTGCATAGGGGAGAGTTTCAGAGTTTCCTACTCTGCCATTTGCAGTGACATCACTCCTCTATTGCTGTTTTACACTGTTTACAGCAATTGGAAGTGTGTCATCTCCTTAAAAACGGAAGTCAGGAAAATGCTAGGAAATTCATAATCAGAGAAACTCTTGGATAATTAGCATCTAATCTTTTCATGAATGAGGTGTTCATAACTGTTGAAGAAATGTGAGGATATAAGAAACACCACCAGGCTCTAGAAAATACACTCTAGTTTCAAGCCAAAGAACAGATACATGTAAATAGCATGCAAAAGACTTCCACTGGGGTCAATTTTAGCCTCACCGCATATGTAGAGGCATGGACTCCCTTACTAAAGACACTGTCAGATACTGAGAATCCTTTATATTGAGACCTATGGTATAAATGTGTGTGTACATTTTTTTTCACTAGTATCTATTCTGATCTAAAAATAACTCCCAGAAATTTATGATTTATGAGAATTTTGATGGAAAAAAATCATATTTCCAAGCTACTTTGAAAGCAAAATCTGGCATGGGATTTACATCCAAAATAACCTAAAGTTTGAGCCAATTTGAATGAAAAATCACACTTTGGTTCACTTTGAAGAAACAACTTTTTAAGACCTCTGTCCAAAAAACTCCACAATTTGAATATGAATTAGAAAGCCTGCATTTCTGTGCCATTTTAGGAAAAAAATTACTGTGAATTCATGTCTACAATCTCCTGAAGTTTAGCAAATTGAAGTATTGTTTTCATATGATTTTTAAAGAAAAATATGGCATATGGTTATGTCCCAAAATTCATCTTGGGAAAATTTGGATGAAAAGTCAGTTTTTTGTACCATTTTAGAAGAAAAAAGTGCATGAGAGACTTAAATCTAAAGAAACCCACTTTTTGGAAGAAATAACTGGTATAGAGCTTATGTCCAAGAAACTACATTTTAGAATGAATTTGGATTGTAAAAATATCATTTTGGGGGGTCACTTTGGAAGATAATCTGGCATAGGATTTATGTCTAATAAACCTCATAATAGTAAATTTTAATAATATGGCTATTTGCAAAGAACAATCTAGAACGGGGCTTATCAAAACTCCCACAATTTGAGGATACTTAGATGAAATACCACATTTTTAGGCCACTCAAAGAAAATATGGCATAGGAATTATACCCAAAGAACTAGTTGAGCCAATTCAACAAATCACCTTAACAGGTCACTTGGAAAAAAATTCTTACATACAATTTATGTCCAAAAGATGCCAAGATTTTAGTGAATCTGGATAAGAAATCACATTTTCTGCATATTTTAGAAGAAAAATCTTGTGTAGGACCTAGTACAAACAAGCCCCCAAATTTGAGTTTTGGGTGAAAAACCTGAAAGTGGCACCTGGAGACAAATACCTGGCACATGACATTTCTCAAAACTTCACTATTTACATGGAATTGAATTTTTAAAATCATGTTTCTTGTACATTTTGGAGGAAATTTTTATGGAGGATTTGGCCCACCTCCAAAATCAATAATTTAAATTAATTTGCATGAAAAAAATGTATTTCAAGGCCATTTCGTAAAAATATGTAATATAGAATTTATAACTATGCCACCCTAACTCTGAGCAAAGTTAGATGAAAAGTGACATTTTGGGGTCATCTTTAAAAAATCTCGAAAAATTTGGAAAGAATTATTTCCAAAACTCCTAGGACAGTGAATTTGGGTTTTAAAAATTGTATTTTCAAGTCCAGAATATAATATTGCAACCAGAAAATTTGACTTACTTTTTGTGCCAATTTGGATGAAAAATGTCTTTCTAGGCCATTTTAGAAGAAAAATCTTAGGTGTGTAAATATAAGTGCAAAAATGAAACCATGAATTTGGATGAAAAATTACATTTCCTGAGCTATTTGGGGAAAAAAATCTGCTGTACAGCTTATGTTCAAGACACTCCACTAATTACTTGGTTGCTGTAGCTCTAGTAATTTTGAAATTGGAAGTAAATCCTTCAATTAGTTCTTCTAAAAATACGTTCTTCTGTTGCTTCTTTGAATGTAGTGTTCTCAGACTGTTTTCCCCAACCATCCCCAGACTGAGTCATCTTGGAGATCCTCTCATTTAAGTACATAGACATGTTTCTCAGTCTTTGACAGTATAACAGCATATTGTTCTATTTGTGCATGGTTGACTTCAATTAGTTCCTCCATTGGTGAACATCTTTTTTACTAGAATTTGAAATTACTACTGCACTGAAGAACTTATATAAATCATTTTGCACATGAACATGTGTAGCTATTGGATAAATTCCATTAAGTGAGATTATGGGCTCAAGGGGATTATTAATTTTTAATTTTGGTAGGTATCACCAAGTTGTCCGCTGTAAAGTATCAATTTGTATCAATTTGTATTTCCAAGACTAGTGTATACCTGTTGCCACAGTATACAAAAGAATGTGTTTTCAAATAGCGGTAGACTCTTAAGACACCAAGAAGGGACTAGTGGTTACCAAGGGGGAGGGGTTGGAGCGGGTTGTTGGGGGAAGGTGAAAGGGATAAAGGGGCACAGTAATTCGCAATCACAATATAAGTTGGTTATAGGGATGGTAGTACAGCATGGAGAATAGAGTCAATGATTCTGTAACATCTTATGACATTGATAGATAGTAACCACACTAGAGAGGATGAGGATTTAATAACATGGGTAACTGTTGAACCACTCTGTTGTATATCTGAAACCAACATATGATTGTATATCAATGATACTTTAATAAAAAAATGTTCTCAAATTTTGTAATTTTTGCCAACCTGACAAGTACAAATGGTATCTCTGAGGTTTTCATTTATATCTTTACTGACATTGAGGATATTTTCAAATGGGAAGTCTTCTTATACTGGCATCTGAGTCCGAACTGTCTGAGTTTGATTTTTGTTGAATTGCTGATTTTTAAAATTCGATTTCTAGAGATATTAGGCAGATCTCTTTGTAATATTGACTACAGGATTTCCCTCCAGTTTGTCTCTGTTTTGGCTGAAAGTGTGGGTTGCCTTGCAGAATTTATTTTTGTATAGCCAAACTTGCCCTATTTTCATTATGGCTTGAAGATTTTGAGTCAAAGCTATAAAAGTCCGTCCTGTATTATATAAGTGTTAAAAGGATCTATTGCTATACAACAGACAACACTAAAATGTAGGGCTTAAGATAATTTTATTACCATCTCTCACAGTTCTATAGTTTGAGCTCAGCTGAAAGGTTCTCACTTGAGGTCTGAATGCTTAACACAATGGAACTTTGAAGATGGCTCAATCACATAACTAGAGTTGATCTTTGCTGTTGGCTAGCTCAGCTGAGGGTATTGATTAGAGTGCCTCTCCATGTGGCTTGAGATTGGCATGTCATAGAAGTGGGGTTCAAAGAGTAGAAATTGTACAGCTTCTTATGACCTACCACGAAAGTCCCATAATACCACTTTTCCCCCATTCTCTTGATCAAGCAAGTCATTAAGTCTAGCCCAGATTCATGGGGAGGGCAATCAGACTCCACCTCATGATACAAATCCTATACATGTGAGAAGGAAATGATGATGTTCATCTTGGAGTCTATCTCCACAGTTCACCTTCTGAACACCAACCTTCATGTGCATCCCATGTGAAATATATACTCATGTTTAAGTCCCCCATAGTCTTAATCCATTATGGCATTGGCTCAAAGTTCAGGATCTTATTATCTAAAACAGGTGAGGGTAGAGATTATGCTTCAACTGAAGACTTGTGGACTAAAGCAGCTTAGCTAACATCCAATGCTGACTCAAGGATAACCACAATAAATGCTTCTATTAAAAAGTGGAGAAAGAGTAGACACATAGCAGGCAGTGGTCTACAGAAATTCTGAAATTCAGCTAGGCACATGCCACCATTCCTTGGCTAGTGCCCAGCACTGCCCCCTGGGAGTGATTCTCCATGGCTTTTGTGTCTGCACTCTTGAGTTAGTCTTGCTTTTCTTTAAGAAACGGCCTGTATTTGCAGCTTACATTTCTCAGCCTGCCTCCCTGCCCATGAACAAGTAGGGAGTTTTCTCTGTCCTTTCAGACTAAGCTGGTGTTTTCTATTACAAATAGGGGTTTCCCACACCTCCTACTGAAGTTCACTCCATTAGATGAAATCACATCTACAAAGCTTTTCAAGTCAGCCTGTCTGGTTTGGGTTCAGTGTCAGGGTGCTGGGAGATGATACCCTTCAAATTCACAGAAACCTTTTTGTGGAATTGAGAGGGTTTAAGGGCTGCACATTTCTGAAGTCCTAAAGAAGGTTCTTACACTTGCAGCTCTGAGATGACCTTTACCTTAAAGACCACTTGTTTTGGGTCAAGCCACTTTGAACTGGAACACAATGAAGAAGGTATGGTTAAGAATCTTTCAACTTGGGTGAATATCCTTAGCTTTGTGACTGGAGAACTACTGAGGGTATGTCGCCAAGGGACCCAGACCAGTTATTGGATGGCTGCCATCGGGACTGGGTCTGGGATGGAGTGCTGATAAGCATGATTTTAAGTTCTGAACTACAGTGTTAACACGACTGATTTGGGAGTGTGGCTTCAAGTCTTATCCCTGTTATCAAGAGGGCTGAGGAGAGAACATGGTTAAAGGTCATTAAATTATTGGAGTGTCAAGAGGGTGGTATAGCTGGGGGCAGGGAGTGCTGGGGATAATGTACTGTAGAGGAGGCTCCATTATGGGATGACCAGGGACTAAAGCCTGAGAAAATGGAATGAAGGTGGTAGGGGATGATTCAGCAAAAGCAACAATTTAGACATCAGGAGAAGAGAAAAAAGGGAGCTGTCACAGAGGCCAAGGGAAGAGGGTGGTTACAGATCAAAGTGGATTGCTTAGAGGGAGCCTTATTTTCTGGAAGAGTTCCTCCCCTGCCCCCCAAATCCCTGAATACTTCTTAGATTCTCTACCTCTACAAAGGACCAGACTTTGCAATAAATATACTAGTGACTCAGTTCTTATTTCTTCCAAGGAATTGAATTCTTGCGGAAATGTAGACTTAATAATTTTAAGATAGCTGTACCATCCTTGTTCCTTATCTTTACATGAGTGAATGAGGTACATAGCCAAGGTTACAGATTTGTAAAGAAGCAAATTTTATTAGAATAAAAGGCCACAAAATATGAAGACTTAGCATTGGAGAAAGTAAACTAAGTCAAATGTCCTTTGACCACTTACGGAATGCATTTTTCTACTCCATTTCATCAAAGTGTAAAATTTTGACTTAGTCCTCACCAAACATTTTCATTTTCAAAGGGAGTGTAAGGGGTCAGATAATTGTCCCAAACAACACCTCCGAGTTGGGGTGGAGTGGCAGTTTGTGGTGGACTGATTTCATTCTCTCGTGTCTGCTGAGGTGAAACTTCTGGCTAAAGCCTTGCCCACACATCTTGCACACGTAAGGCTTCTCCCCCTGGTGTGTCATTTGATGTAAGATGAGGTGGGACTTTTGGATAAAACCTTGGCCACACTCTCTGCATATACAAGGTTTCTCTTCTGAATGCACCCGCTTATGTGTGATTAGAGCTGACTTATTGATAAAGCCTACTCCACACTGCCTGCACATGTAAGGCTTCTCCCGTGAGTGTTTCCTCTTGTGCCTGATTAGACCTGCCTGGTGACTGAAGCCTCGCCCACACTCCCTGCACACATATGGCTTTTCCCCTGAGTGTGTCCTCTGGTGTGCAATGAGGTTTGACTTCTGGCTGAAACCTCGCCCGCACTCCTCACAAACCATGGGCTTTTCTCCTGAGTGTGTTCTCTGGTGTCTAATGAGATTTGATTGCTGGCTGAAGCCTCTCCCACAATCCTTGCACACAATGGGCTTATCCCTTGAGTGTATATTCTGGTGTCTGTTGAGGTGTGACTTCAGACTAAAGCCTCGCCCACACACCCCACAAACATAAGGTTTTTCCCCGGTGTGTGTCCGCTTGTGTGAGATGAGGGTTGAATTCTGGCTAAAGCTGTGCCCACACACTCCACACACATAAGGCTTCTCCTTTGAGTGTGTCCTCTGGTGGTTGACAAGGGTTGTTCTCTGCCTAAAGCAACGCCCACACTCCTTGCAGGCATAAGGCTTCTCCCCTGAGTGTGTTCTCTGGTGTGAGATGAGGTTTGACCTATCACTGAAGCCTAGTCCGCAGTCACTGCACACGATGGTCTTCTCCTCTAAGTGTGTCCTCTGGTGTCTAACAACAGCTGACTTCTGGCTAAAGCCTTTTCCACACTCCCGGCACACATAGGGCTTCTCCCCCGAATGTGTCCTCTGGTGTATGATGAGGTTTGACTTCTGACTAAAGCTTCGCCCACACTCACTGCACATATAAGGCTTTTCACCTGAGTGTGTCCTCTCGTGTATGATGAGTGTAGACTTCCGATTAAATCCTCGTCCACACTCCCTGCACACAACAGGTTTCTCCTCAGAATGGGCCTTCTGGTGCCTGGCAAGGCTTTTCTTTAGACTAAAGCCCTTCTCACACACCCTGCACATGTAAGGCTTCTCCCCTGAGTGTATCCTCTGGTGACTAAGCAGGTTTGTCATCTTGCTGAAGCCCAGTCCACACTCTCCACAATTGACCGTTCCAAATCCTAAGACTTCTATGTTCTTCAGCAATTTGTCTGTTTCCTCGGGGTTTCCTGTCTGAGCGGGGCTGGCCTCTACTTCCACCCCTCTGATGCCATTCCTAGAGCTGACTGGCTCTCTTTGGGGTGGCTTGGAGAATGTTTCCAAAGTTCTTTTCTTTGTCTTTCCAAACAGGGGCGCTATGCCTTCTCTCTCTTGATCTTCTGTTTTATCCCTCCAGGAACTCTGATCTGAGGCTTGCTGCTGCTTCTCCTGGCTCCCTGGGCATGGATCCCCTGGCTGGCCATGACTCTCTGCACATAAGCATGTGAAGATCCAGGGGGGATGATTACACAGCATGTGTTGCATGTGGAGTTTCTGACTGGAAAAATCTGGAGGGCAGAAGGGACAGAGGCGGAGTTCTGGCTTTGGTTCTGCTGCAGAGAGAAAAGTCTGAGTCAGAACTGAGACTTGGCAGCACAGCCTGAGCAGTTCTGCCTAGTCTGATGGTAAGACCTGATTCCCTGCTCTTCCAAATGCTTAGAACTTATGTTTCCTGACCAAGACTTCCTTTACATGACCTACTTTTCCAGCCCATCATGACATCTTACATCTTACATGATATTCCAGAGAACCCACTCCTAGGCCTGCTGCATGTATCTGACTATAAAAGCAACACAGGCAGTTTTGGTTTTGTAAATAAGGCCAGTATGCAACAGTCCTTCCCCTCTACTACAATATTCTTCCAACTCACAGCCAGCCACATTCACATAAACTATCCACAAGTATTTTCTTTGAGAGATACCTAACCAGAGGACCCTTGTGAAAAAGTTGCTTTCCCTATTTCCCGATGAGAACAAAGAGACTGAGAGAGCAGTTATTCAAATTGGAGAACCCCTAGTGGAGGAAGCAGCATAAAAGAGTGGTTAAAGAGATCATGTATGTGATGCTTGAACTGGAGTTTCTCCACTTACAAATATTTATTAGAGGATTACTTTGTGCTAGAATTTCTGCAAGGCAGGCGGTTTTCAACAATGGATAACACAAACATAGTCTAGGTCCCCATTGACTTCAAAGATGCTCCCACTTGGTACCCCTGACCAATCTAAGCCCTGTTAATTTCCATAATTAATCTAAATAAAATTTTCTAGAAATTGGTATAAATTAAGTATTTTCTTCTCATAGTACCTCTTGTGTAGGAGATGTCAACATTGAATGCATTGTTTCATCACAACTGGTTCTAGTTAGCTGAAGGCAATAAATGACTACACAATTTGAGAAGCCAGGTACAGATCTTACTAGATCTACCTGAACACTCCTTCCTTGATCAATGAGCTGAACTTTTGAAAACCAACTGTGTACACACCTACATTTCAGTACTCTATCCTAAAAGGATGTTACTATATTTGGTTATAGGGCTTTTAAGGGCATTTAAGGTTAGAAGTGGTCATTAGGGTGCAGCCCCAACCCAATATGCCTGGTGCCCTTGTAAGAAAAGGAAGAGAGAGGAGGAGGAGACCCAAAGGAAGGGCCACGTGAAGACAGTGAGAGGCGGTCATCTGCAAGCCAAGGAGAGAGGCTTCCTGAGCAATCAAGCACACCAACACCTTAATCATCCAAGAACTATGTGAACTATAAGCCTCCAAAACTATAAGAAAATAACTTCTGTGCTTATGCCACCCAGTCTGTGGTACTTTGGTTTGGCAGCTGAGCTAAAGCAGATGTTTTACTTCCTTTGCCCTGACCTTGTTTCCTATCACTGTAGTTAAACACCTATGCATCTGCCCCACTGTCAGCCCCTGAGCAAGTCCTGTGCAACTTATCAGTTATTACAGTAAATATGAAATGTCAAAGTCCCTAATAAAGGACAGTAATACTTGGTTTGGCATAAAATGCAACTAGTTACATGCTGCTGCCAGAAAGCAGAACAACTAAGCCACATTATTTTTATTTAAAAATAAAAGGATCAACACATAAAAACCATACCAACAAAACAAAAAAACACAAGAAAGTGGGTGTTAAGAATAACCAAAAAGAAAGGGAAAGTTAATATCATATGAAAAAAAGCAAATTTTGTTAAAAACTTAGATGAATGAGGTAAATTTTTCATAAGCCTTTATATACCTCAGTGTACTGAAATGAAATATAAGGCAAAATAAATAAATGGAAGGTATGATATAAATTACAGTGACATTAGGCAGCTTCACGACTCTTCCTAACAGGTGAAAAATGGGGACATAAGCAACTTGAAAAATAGGAATAATTTCAATTTTATATGCTGTATTTTTGGGGTTCTAAGACACAATTATAAGTCTCTCTTAAATTTGATAAAGCTGAAAGAAATAGCAAATTTCTTACACAGAAAAGAAGAACACATATTTGCCTCCATGCATGAAACATTTATGAAATTGTCAAAAGTATTTTTAAAACAAAAAAAAAACATAATTCTGTGATGTTACATATGTTTATGTCATTTAAAAATAATGCCAGGTAGAAAGCAAAATTCCAGAACCCACTGCATCACTCATTCCAATTCTGTCCCCACCAAGTGCCACTGGTTGTGATAAATAACAACACAGATGTCTATTTTCAGGTAAGCATATTGGTATATAGTCTTTCACACACTTCTCTTCAACAAGAAACTGAATGGTGTAATACACATTGTTCTGCAACTTTTCCATTTAATAATATATCCGCTAAGTATCTGAATTATTCTGTTAAAGAAGGCAAAGGAAAATTTGCTTGTGATTAACAAGCAGATAGGAAGTATCACAGAAACAGGAAATTATAATAAAAATAAATGGATATGGCAGAACAGAAAAATACAATATCTGAGAAGAAAAATGCACTGGCCAGACAGGAGATAACAGAGGAGACAGTAAACTTGAAGAGTGATCAACAGAAATCATTCCATCTAAAAGAACACAGGGGGAAAAAACATGGACAGGCTCAAATAACCTATGGGATAATATAAAAGGCACTAATACATATTTAATTATAGTTCCAAAAAGGGAGAGAAAAAAAAGTTATATGAAATAATAATCTCTGAAAATTTCCCAAATTTGGCTCCAGCCATAAACTTATTCAAAATCTCAGCAAACCCCAAACCAGGAAAATACATAGAGAAGCACGCCTAAACAGTTACCTCACAGTCAAACAGCTCTTAGCAAAAATACAGAAAAAACCTTAAGAAGTAACCAGAGCGGGAAAAAAGGTAATATAAAACCAGTAACAGTTATAGAAATAACAGCTGACCTTTCATCAGAAACAAGAGAGGCCAGAGCAAGGGAACAGTGTCTTTAAAGTGTTGAAAATATAAACCAAGCTACAATTCTATACCCAGTGAAAATATCTTTCAAGAATGAAGGTGAAATAAAGACACTCTCAGAAAAACAAAATGTAAGCGAATACATTGCCACTCGCGACAGAAAAAGTTCTTTAGGCTGAAGGAAAATGATAATCAGGTAGAAACTCAGAACTCCATGAAAAAAATGAAAAGCATAGAAAGAGTTATTTTTTTCTCTTAATTTAGAGAAAATACATATTGAGTGTTTAAAACAAATATTTTAACACTGTATTAGGGAATTTAGATTATATGTAAGTGTAGTAAAATCACAATTATAGAATAAAGGATGCTGAAGGAAAGGGTAATTGGAATTGTACAACTGCAATGTTCTTAACATTTTACACAAAGTGGTACCCAGAATAAACAGAGTAAGAAAAGTTAAGGCTGTATGTTGTAATCCCTTACAGCAGAGGTCAACAAACTTTTTCTTAAACATTTAGATAGTATATAGTTTAGGCTTTGAGGGCTAAGAGGCAAAATTGAGGATATTATATAGGCACTTCTTTAACCATTCAGAAACATAAGAACCATTTTTGGCTCAGTATTTGAGGAATCCCATATTTTCAATTTCTCAATTGGCCTTCCACCCTCTCCCTGGACTTGTCTTCTTTCTTTAGCTCATTGGATTTTTTCTACATTCTTAATTGATCTTTTTTAAAAATAGTAACAAGAGAAAAAGAAGCCCATAAATATGGAAGAGAACTGATTGGGGTAGAGGGTAAACCCAGTGGGAGGAAGAAAGGCTTCTCACGGAGGAAGATGATGAGGAACATCAATCAGGAAAGCCCCATACTCAAATGAGGATGAAGATCTGGAAGGGAGGCTGTGCCAGGCAATGCAAACAGCAGCCCAGGGGTCAGGGGAATGGCTTCCCTCTCCAGCACCCAGCAACGTCACCTCTCTCCAACCTCCCCGAGCTGCCTGCAGCTCTGTGTTCCTTTTGTTGTGTTCACTCACCTGGGCAGGTGGCCATGGGGCATTTTCTCTCTTCTCTCCAGGTTTCCTTCCCTTGCTCCAGCTGGGTGATGAGCTTTGGCTTAGAAAATAGAATTCCTGTGAGCAGGAAAAGAAAACAAGGTGGCTGTAGGTTATAGGCTCAAGGGCCAAGTCAGAAAGCAAGACAGCTGCTTCAAGCACAGCCTAAAATGCCCATCAACAAGAATGCAAGTCCTAAGAGATGCCAGTCTTACCCAATGAAACCAGGTTGCTGTAGTTTTCCAGCATCACCTCCCTATATAGGGACCTCTGTGCAGGGCTCAGTAGCATCCATTCCTCCTGGGTGAAATCCACCGCCACATCTCTGAATGCCATGTGTGCCTGTAACACAAAACACAGCCCTGCTCACCAAGGAGCCAGCCTTGCCCATGACTCAGGGTGAGGGGCAGGGAGGTAGGTGGAATATCCAGATTCTGCCTCCGCCATGTGTTCTAACACCTTTAAACCTCTGTTGCTATCGGGCCAGCAGCACTTGTGAATTTACACATGCAAGACCTTGGGTGGGCTGTTTGGAGAATATATGCGAAAGAGAGTCCCTAACTTTCAAGAACTTTTAAATCTACATAGAAAGAATAACAAACAACATGTAAAAATTAAATACTAAAGCATAACAGACTTTCTCCATTTTAAGAATTAAAGATTAAAGAGTATGACCAATTTTAGTATTGAAGCATCTGAGTGATTAAAGTTCATACAATTCAATAATAGCATAGATTAAACTACAACTCAGTCATTCCCCTAAATAAATCCCACAGACCCAAGGCCTTCTTGAGCCTAAGAGGACTAAGTGGGGAGTGATGAAGAGTATGCACTTGAACCATACTGCCCGGGGTTGGGGCCCACCTCCACTGCCAACCAGTGCCTCAGTTTTCTCACCTGTGAAATGTGGATAACAGTAAACTTATGGCCCCCACACTGTAGATGTTCACAGTGGGTCTTCTTGGCCACTCAATATACAAATTTATCTCTACATCCCATTCTTATCCCCCTGCCTGGTTTTACTTCTATCTCTCTAGTATCATTTCAAAATGGTGAACACACTAGAATAGAGACATTAGGAAAGGTTTCATGAGAAAGGCCAGGGAACTTCATCTTGAAAGACAGACAGGAATCAAGGGAAGAGAGAAGTGCCACATATTCCAGATGAGGCATGTGGGAAGTAGAGAAGAGAACACTGTGTCAACAGAAGAGAGGAGGTCACAATGTGCATGGGGAGGGCCACTGGGGAAGAATAAAAGGTACCTAATGGTTGATGGAGTGTAGTAATCTGTAGGTTTCTTATTTTTTGAATAATATACACAAAAACTTTATTATTTTGAGTGTACATTTCAGTAACATTAAGTACATTCATACTGTTGTACAACCATCACCACTATTCACCACCAGAACTCATTTATCATTCCATGCTCAAACACTGCAACCATCAAACAGTTAACTCCCTCCTCCCCACAAACTCTGGTAACCACCATTTTAGTTTCCATCTCTATGCAAAGAAGTGGAATCACACAATACTAGTCCTTTTGTCTAGCTAATTTCACTTAGCATAATGTTTTCAATGTTCATTCATGTGAAGCATGTAGTCAGAATTTCCTTCCTTTCCAAGGCTTCCTTTCCTAGCATTTTTTAAGGCTAAAAAATATTCAGTTGTATGTATATACCATTCATCCATTGATAAACACTTGGTTTGTATCCATCTTTTAACTACTGTGAATAATACTACCATGCAAATTGGTATGTAATTATCTATTTTAGTCCCTGCTTTAAATTCTTTTGGGTATATACCCAGAAGTGGAATTTCTGGATCAAATGGTAATTCTATATTCAATTTCTTTTCAGCAACTACTGTACAGTTTTCCACAGTGATTGCACCATTTTATATCTCCACTGGCTATGTAAAGGGTTCTAATTTGTCCACATCCTTGCCAACATTTGTTGTTTTTTTTTCTAAAAAGAGCCATCCTAATGGTACCTGTAAAGTGGCAACTCGGTGTGGTCTTGGTTTTCATTTCCCTAATGCTCAGTGATGCTGAACATTTTTTCATGTGCCTATTCGCCATTTGCATATCTTCTTTGCAAAAACATCTATTCAAGTTCTTTGCCATTCTTGAATTGTGATGTTTTTGTTGTTGTTATAGTTCTTTATATATTTTGGACACTAATCACTTATCAGAAAAGTGATTTACAAATGTATCTTCTCTCTTTGACACACAAAAGTTTTAAATTTTGACTAAATCCAATTTACCTATTTTCTTTTGTTACCCGGGCTTTTGGTGTAATACCTAAAAAGTTATCACTAAATCCAACTTCATGAAGCTTTTCCTCTGTATTTTCTTCCCACATTGAATGGCCTCAGTACTACTGCTGAAAATCATCTGAACCAAACATGTGAGGGTTTACCTCTGGGTCCTCTGTTCTATTCCATTAGTCTGTAATTCTGTCTTTCTTCCATTCCCACATATAGTTTGGATTACTGTAGCTTTGTGGTAAATTTTGAAATCAGGAACAGTGGTCCTCTGACTTTGTTCTTTTTCACATTGTTCTGGCTTTTAGGAGTTCCTTGAAGCTCCATACAAATTTTAAGATGAAATTTACTATTTCTGGAAAAAAGTTCACTGGAACTTTGATAGGGATTACATTGAATCCATTTGAGCACTATTTGCATCTAAGCAATACGAAGTTTTCCAAACCATAAATATGTAATGTCTTTCATTTATGTCTTAATTCTTTCAGCAGTTTTGTAGCTTTCAGTGTACAAGTCTTTCACATCGTTTATTTCTAATTTTTTTAATGTAAGTGCAATTCTCTCTTAATTTTCTTGGATTGTTTATTGCTAGTGTACAGAAATGCAAGTGATATTTGGGGGATTTTGTATCCTGTTACCTTGTTGAATTTATGTATTAGTTCTAACAGGTGTGTGTGTGAAATCTTTTCTACATATAAGATCATGTTATCTATAAACATAATTTTAATTCTTCCTTTCTAATTGAAATCCATTTGTTTCTTTTTCTTGCCCATGGGCTGTGGCTGTAGCTTCAATAGAAGTTGAAAAGTGGGCATAATTGTCATATTCCTGATTTTACCGTAAAATCTTTCAGTCTTTCAATATGGAGTAAATTAGCTCTGTTTTTCATACATGGCCTTTATTATGTTGAGTAACTCCTATTCCTAGCTTGAGTGTTTTTATCACAAAGGGTGTTGAATTTTGTCTAATACTTTCTGCATCAATTGAGATGATCATACGGCCTTTGCCCTTCATTTGTTAATGTAGTATATTCATTGATGTTCATATGTTGAACTATCCTTGCATTCCAAGAATAAATCCTACTTGATTAGTGGGATCCTTTTAATATACTGTACAATTCTGTATAATTATTTTAATAGTATATAAAAGTGTACAATTCTTTTAATATACTGTTCATTTTGATTTGCTACTATTGTTGAGGAATTTTGCATCAGTGTTCTTAAGGTATAATGGTCTGTAGTTTTCTTTACTGTCTGGCTTTGGTATCATGGTAATGCTGGCCTCTTAAAACAAGCCAAGCAGTGTTCCCTTTCCAATTTTTTGAGAAAAGTTTGAGAATTGATGTTAGTTTTTCTTTAAATGCATGGTAGAATTCACCGATGAAGCCATCAAGTCCAAGGCTTTGTCAGGTCTTTGATTGCTGATTAAATTGCCTTACTAGTCTATTCAGAATTTCTATTTCCTCATGATTCTGTCTTGTTTTTTGCATGCTTGTTTCTTAAGGTTGTTTTCTTCTTTGTTCCTAAAAATTGTCTATTTCATTTAGGTCGTCCAGTTTGTTGGTGTACCCTAATACTCTCTTACAGTTCTTTCTAATTCTGTAGAAGCAGTAGTAATGTACCCATTTTCATTTTTGTTTCAGTAATTTTAGTTTTGTTTTATTAGGCAAGCTAGCTAAAGGTTTTGTTGGTTTTGGTAATCTTCTCAAAGAACCAGCTTTCAGTTTTGTTGATTTTCTCTTAAAAAATTCTCTACTTAACTCTGTTCTAATCTTTATTATTTCCTTCTTTCTGCTAGCCTGGGTTTAGTTTGTTCTTTTTTCTAATTTACCAAGTTGTAAAAATAGGTTGTTACCTAGAGATTTTTCCTTTTTTAATGTTGTGTTGATAGCTATAAATTGTTCCTGTTAGCATTTCTGTTGCTGTGTATCTCATAAGTTTTGGTATGTTGATTTTGTTTCCATTTGTCTGTAGGCATTTTCTAATTTCCATTGTGATTTCTTCTTTAATCCAGTGGTTGTTTAAGGGTGTGTTGCTTCATTTTTACATATTTGTGTATTTTTTAATTTTCCTTCTGTTATTGGTTTCTAACTTCATCCCACTGTGGGGAAAGATACTTTACATATCTGTCTTTCAAAATCTGTTGAGACTTAATTTGTGGTCTATCATATAGTCTATCATGGAAAATGTCCCATGTGCACATTTTTTTATTGAGTAGGATGTTCTGTATATGTCTGTTAGGTTTGGTTGGTTTATTATGTTCCTCAAGTCTTCTCTTTCCTTACTTACATTCCACTTGGTTGTTCTATCCATTCCTCAAGGTGGGGTAATGGTTTCCAACTATTATTCATCTGTATCTTGCTTCAATTCTGTCAATTTTGCTGATATACCTTGAGGGTCTATCATTAAGTATGTGTATATAATTTTATCTTCTTGCTATACTAACCTTTTACCAGTATATAATGTCTTCCTTGCTCTCATATCCTTTTTGGATTTAAAATCTATCTTGTCTGATATTAGTACAGGCACCTCTAACCTCTTTTGGTTATTATTTACATGGAATACCTTTTGCCATCCTTTTTCTTTTAATGTATTTGTGTCTTTGGATCTAAAATTAGTATTTTATAGACTGTGTATACTTAGATCATGGTTTTTGTTTTTGTTGCTCCATTATGCCAAATTTTGTCTTCATTAGAGAGTTTAATCCATTTATATATCATGTAATTTCTGATGAAGGACTTCTACCATTTTGCTGTTTTCTACATGTCATGTAATTTTTTTTAATTGAAGTATAACTGATATACAATATTATGCTAGTTTCAAGTATACAACATAGTGATTCAACAGTTACCTACATTAAATGTTCATCCCAATAAGTATTATTTACTGTCAACATAAAAAGATATTACAGTATTATTGACTATATTCTCTATGCTACACTTTCATCTCCATGACTAATTTATATTCTAATTTGTATACCTCCTTATACACCCCACCTAATTAACTCACCCAACCTAAACCCTCCCCTGTGGTAACCACCAGTTTCTGTGTCTATGAGTCTATTTCTATTTTGTTTTGCT